CCCAAGATTTGAGATTTCTCAAATTTCCACCCCCCAAAATACATGGGTTGGAGATGGTATTTGGAGGCTAAACTCAAAATTTGAGTTTCCACACCAAGGGTTGGAGATGGTCTTAGATACCCACAAGTTCTTTGATTGGTTGTCTCATTAAAATCTTGCTAGGAAAAACCTAGTGAAAAAAAAACCTAAGCGAAGGAAAAAGAGTACAACTTCATTTGGGACTTGATATAGTGTTGGACGTTTATGTTGCCTCGTTAAAACCTTGCTAGGAAAAACCCAGTGAAAAAAAAACCTAAGAGAATGAAAAAGAGTACAACTTCGTTTGGGACTTGATATAATGTTGGACGCGCTTATGTTACCTCGTTAAAACCTTGCTAGGAAAACTCAGTGTTAGACGACCATTGGAGTGCTAAGCGGATGAGCCTTATCCATGCCAAATTGCTTCAATACTTTTTCAGTATAAGTTAATTGATGGACCAAAATCCCACTAGCACTTAATCTGTAAGCCGACTTCCCAAATTTTTGCATAAACAAAAATCTTTTTGCTTTTTTGGTAAATTGTGGTGATACAATTATTAAGTTTGATGGTTGCCTTGCTTTCGACCCAAAAAAAAAAAAAAAAAAGATGGCTGCCCCTATATCACATGTCAGAGTAATATGCGATCCGTGATTCACATGCTTGGAATCTTGGATCCATGATCCCTGTATGCCTTCAACATACCCATTTGTCAATTTCAAACATTCGGTGTGCAACTAAAACATGTGAATGATGTTTCCTCAATCAACAATCCATGGCTTAGGCACATATAATGCTCTGCTTAATTCGCATATATATGCAGCTTCCGTTGTCTCCCACCCTTAACAAGGAAAGAGAGAGAAACCTGCCAATGCCACTGAGAGAGAGAGAGAGAGAGAGAGCATGAGTTCAAATTTCAAAGCAAAAGGGACTCAATACCAATCATAAATAAAGATATTCAATCCCATTCCATTCATGGCATTGTCACATCAAACAGAACAGAACTTGCCCTCTCTGCCCATTCTCCACCTCTCTCTATAGGGTTTTGAATAACTCCACTTAATTAGCCTCCCCATTGATAATTAAAGTTAGTTAATTATTCTATTAATTAGGGTGCAGGAAATATTCAACAGTTAATACATAGATTTGATTGAAAACTACTAGTACAGCTAGCTAGCTACATCACATACATACACAATAGCTATAGATGGAGTCGAAGGAGCACACTATAAGTAGTAAAGATAAAGGTAAAAAGTAGATGGAACTGGAACATGTTACTTAGCATCCATGATATAATCCAAAGGCCAAGATTCTCCGGTTACTTTGATGGGAGGGAGGTCTAGCATGGTCTGAAAGCCGGCCCTGTTGAAAGCAGTTGAAGGACACGTGTCATGCTCATGAACAGTTGTAGCAGTACCAGCAGCATCTGAGAAGCCCAACACACTATAATCCAAACAATCAAAAAGCAGAGGATCATTTGGATGATTATTGTATTGATGGTAAGGGGTGTTTGGCTGATGATGATGATGATGATGATGATGATTCTTTTCCATCAAGTTCAACAAGTTCAAGTCACAATTATTATTATTATTAGCTGGTGTTTGGAAATGGGAAAAGTAGTTGGGCTCTGTCTTGCACTGTTTGGGAATAGTATTATTGCAATCTTGGTCATGGGAAGAGAAAAGGGATTTGAAGAGGAGGGATTGCAAAGGTGATGGGTTTTTATCATTTGTTAATAATGCTGTGTTGCTGTTGGTGGTGGTGGGTGAAAAAGAGGGTGAGGGTTGGGTTTGGAAGGCATTTATCGGGAAGGAGGAAAATAGGTGGGGTTGGGAGACAACTGGGTTGATGAGGCTTTTGAGGTCATTTTCTTGGTGCTGAAACAGAAAAGGAGGAAGAGGATGAGGAGATTGCATTTGCATTGGGTTGTGAGATTGATGAGGACGTTGTCCTTGTTGCAAGAATGTAGGTTTTGCTGCTGCTGTTGGAGATTCCAGCAATGGAGGCAGACAATTGCAATTGGATGAAGCAGCTTCAACTTCAACTTGATCAAGTTGTAGTGGGTTTTTTTTGTCCTCAGTTTTGTGATTTATTCTGCATATCACCCATTCATCCTGCATAATTCAATTTAGTAAACAAATTAGTTGTGAGCAAATATCTTGGGGAATTAGGGCTTAATAGTTATCGTATATAAAATCAAATATTTTTGAAGCACAGGATCTACTGATCTCGATAGGTAGGGTAACGATTGTTAAATCAATCAGATGATGACATGAATTAAAAATAAATAGATCCAAAGGTTAAAAATCAAAGTGAAAATGGTCTAGTCGGCATACTGAATAATGCCAACTATACAAGAAAAGTCAACCCCAGAAAGCGACAAAGGAGAGGGTGAAATTTAGCAGTTGCAGCAGGTAAAATTCCAAAAGCTAGGTAGATAGGTTGATTGGATTCCCACGTACGTGTATTAAAGGGTGTGTGCACGTGTGGAGGTAGGGTTATGCTGGGGTCTACCCTAATGCCCTTTTTTCTTTCTCTATTATCGTTCACCATTGTTGATTGGTGGTGAGCGTTACAACCGCATTAATAGCGGTTGAGTGAGTTGAACTTTTGAGATTCTTGTAGCAAGTGGATTAAATCACACTCATCTAGCGGCGCGTGGTGGTAATGCTCACCGCCATTTAATGATAGAAAAACTTGGAAATGAAATTATTAAAATGACCTTGCAGGCGTGGCCGCCGTAGGAGGAGAGGCGACCGTGGAGGCGGTACTCGTGCATGACCCACTTGGTCTTGTGGCCGCGTGGGGCTCGGCCTTTGTAGAAAACAAGAGTCTTCTTCATGCCAAGCAAGGCTCCAGTGGATGCGCTGTACACTTGTCTGTCTTTGCCAGTAGCTTTCCAGTAACCAGCTCCGGTGGCTCTGTTGGTTCTTAACCCTGTTGGGTACTTCCTGTCCCTCAAGCTGAAGAAGTACCACTCTCTCTCCCCCATCTTTGCCACATCTGCACCATTCATCATCATCATCACTTAAATCATCACATATACATCAACGGCTAGATTTGTCAGTGCAGTACATTCATTTAATGAATGAAAAAATTCGTCAGAAGTTGAGGTGCCCTAGATTTTCTGGCTAAGAAATATATGGGTTTGGTGAGAGAGTCAGATATATGGAAGGAATGCATTAACTCTTGGTCAGAAAGAGAGATGGGAGAAATGATTGTGTCTTAACAGACATTCATTTATTATTTATTTTCTTAAGTTTGCTAAATAAATGTGTACTTTGGCAGATATTATTGCAACACTTTTCCACCTACAAATCTGAGACGGCATTTTCATCATCAAATCAAGCAAAAGCTTTGAGGCATGCCATTAATTATGAGTATGACTGCAGCAAGGGGACCATGAAAATGATAGAGCTTCATAGCTCTTTAGTTATAAATCATAATTAATTAATTTAATGACATGAATATGTTAATTAATGACAAGGGTAGGAGGAGAGAATATCAACCTGGGAGCTCCCAGGGCTCGCATCTGTTGAGATCAACCTCAGCAATGTCGACGCCGCAGAAAGAGCCGTTGTAGACCTTGGAAGCCAGATAGAAAGTTATGAGCTCCTCGTCAGTTGGGTGGAACCTAAACCCTGGCGGCAAACCCTGCTCGTTTATGTCTTCCCCACTCAGCTCACTCATAACTGCGTCTTCCATTCCCAACATTACTTGCTTTTGATTTTGATTTTTCAGACAAAAACAACCTAGTTAAGGTAGAGAAAAAACAAAGTTGGGTTTTGGGTGCTCTCAAGAAGCTTAGCGAAAGTTGTGGTTGTAATGCGTAAAGTGTGATGTATGATATATATATATATATAGATAGGAGGGGTTAAGCGGTTTAGCTTGGATTTGGAGGAGGAGCACTGAAACCGAAGGAGAAAGAAAAGATAGTGAATGAATTGAGGAGAGAGAGAGAGAGAGAGAGAGAGAGGTTTTGGGGCTTGGAAATGGACGATCATAAAAAAATGGAAGGGTATGTGGTGGAGCCCATTGGAAGGACTTGAAGCCCACCTGAAAGGGTTCCAATTCCAAACAGGCTGATTAAAAAAATCAAATTAAATTTGAGAGATTGTTGTTGTTTTGTGGTGATGACTGTGTGAGTGATGAGAGAGAGGGGGGAGAGGGAGAGGCCCGAGGAGGTGGAGGAGAGGTAAACTAGTAATTAATGGAAAAGTTGATTGCAGAGATTTATGCGTGCGGGTGTAGGCATGTATAATCTTTCTTTAGATCCAAATACAGTCGGGCAGGCTCAGATACAACAACACTAGGGAACCCTAGTCTCTGCTCTCTAGCCTACCCTACCCTACCCTACTCTAGCTTAGCGTATCAACAGTGACGCCATATATATATATATCTGTTTGCTCAACTTTTAACTTTTAACACAAACAGATCATAATAATAAGATCACCGAAAAGGCAAAAAGTAAAAGATTTCCTTACTCGTTTGAGCATCCAGATCCAGGTGGTAGAACATTTACATACAACATGTTCCAGTATAATTCAATGGAGTTAATTTTACTACAGAATAAAACCTATTAAACTATTAGTCGCATGCATGCATGATGTAAATTTGTGAGGGACACGGACACCCCTATTCCTATTCTGTACAGTAGGTGTGTGTAGTGTAGTGTTAGTGTAGCTTAGTTGTGGACCCCACATCTCCCTGTGAGGAAGAACTTCTCTCTCTCTACTGCCTACTGCCTACTACCTACTACTACTAGTACGTAGGTGGTGGGGTTGTTGATCATCAGATTTTCTGTTGAGGGAGTTGGTCCTTTTGTCAATTTTACTTGGCTAAACGTAATTAATTTTGGGGGAGGAGGGACCAATAAAATTCAATGCCGTCGGCGCTGCACGTGCACGCAGTATTTCTATATGATCAGCTAATAAAAGGTTTTTTTTTTTTTTTTTTTTCTGGGCCTGCTTTGCTTTTGTTTCCTTTACTTTTGCTTCTTCTTGTCAATCGATCGTAAAGCCTCTCTCTCTCTCTCTCTCTCTCTCTCTCTCTCTCCTTTAGCCATCCTCACAAATAAAAGATAACGACGGCCATCTAGACTAGCTTACATAAGCCTACCTGATCTGTCATTCTTAATTAGCCCTGCGTTTCTTGTTTTACTCACTTAGGATTAACTAAAATCCCTAACTTTTAGACTCATTACTGTAAGAGCATCTTCAAAGAAAAAGGTAAAAGAGTAGGCAAATTTCATTTGCCTTGCTATATCGGCATTTTCATGCTCCAAATAAAGAGGCAAACGAATAGGCAATATTGCCTACTTCAAAGTGAAGAGTTATATTGGATCCCACTTGTTTTTTATAATAAAATACCATCTCCACTCTCTCACATACTTTTTATAAATTATAATAGTAAATGTAATTAAGGAAGAATATAGATGTTGTGTTATAAATTGAAGGATTATGAAGCACTATTTATAAGAGGTTGATGCCTAAACCCTATCCCCAGTAATTTTACTATATTTTGAACGGATTAGTAGAGATAAGTTTTAGACATTAACCTCATATAAGTAGTCCACCTTAATGTTTAAGTTAGAAAACAACATCCATATTCTTCTTTAATGACATATGAAATCTAATTTGGTCTAGTCCAATCTAATCCTCCATATTAAACGTGACCTAACGTATTGAAAATATTACATCAGCTAAATCCTATGATTTCAAATGTTAAAGGCATACGTGGCATTGTGCATGTGTTAAAGGCAAAATGAAAGGAAAGCAAAAACGAGGACAAAAGATCTAGAGTCGGCCCTAAGATGATATGATAATGGTATGCAATTGCATTAATTTATGTCGACATTTATTGGACTGCAATCCTGCAATTAATTATATATCTTTCGTATACGTACCTCCTCCTCTTGTCTTTGGTCAGATAATCATAATTATACGCTGATCATTACAACAGATCAGTCTCTTTCTTTTTTTCTTCATTAAAAGCGATAGTAATTTTATTGATAACACAAAAAAAAAGTATAAAGTAGCCGTAATGCCAAATATGAGTACAATATCTCCAGTGACCAAACACAAAAATAAATTGATTTGATATGGAGAGAATTACGCATGCCAGAAAAACCTAAAACCTCCAATTCTACAAACAAAAGCACTTGTACTCAGACATACAATACAGATTCACTACACAACGGCAGTAACGACAAATCCACATCAAAAAGTCGAACACTAAATACAAACATCATCAACCTCCTATTGAGTTTCTAAGAATTATTAAACTAAAATAAACACAGAAACAAAGACTCCGCACCACATCCTCTCCATCAAACCAAAGAGACTCGTCGCACCAACATAGCTAAACCTCTTATTTTACAAAGGCAAAACCTGATCACAGTCTCTTTAAGTAATCAAGCAAATAGCTAGAAAGATGAATGGTCTGTTACTTATAGCTAGTTGTTCAAATATGGCGCTAAACTTGACATATATTATTCATCAATTTCTTGACAGTTTAAGCTTTCATTTGTGGACATCAATATCCATGCATGCACATTGACCTTTTTTAGCAGTGGACAATTTGCAAAACGTAATTATGAAATTTGTTATAATTTACTAATTAGGTCCAAATTTTGAAATTAAAGGCGATTCCAAAACACTTATTCACAAAATCAATATGGTTATTGACTCTCTCAAATTTAAGACATACTCTTCATAAAATTTGTATTTGGTTAAGTCAGTTAACTTATTAATTATGTGTTACATATGTTAACTCCTTATCTTTTTGGTTTAAAAAAATTTTTAATCTGTGTTCTTTTAATTAAAAAGAGGAGAGAGGCAAGGGAGACAGCAGAGAGAACAGATATAATGGTTTAAATAATAATGAGAACACATTCTCTCTCTCTCTCTCTCTCTCTCTCTCTCTCTCTTATATATATATATATATATATATAATTGTATTGTATATATAATTGTATTGTACTTAATTCTGAAGGGAGAAGTCAGGATTTTACGGGCCTGGCAGTCTAGCATCACCGACCTACTGCTGAACTTCCTGCCCGAGAGAGACTGAGACTGAGAGACTGAGGGTGGTTCCACCAAGCAAAAGCCAGTCCTATTTATACATTTTTTTGGCAAAGGAGTTATGTTAGACATTATTTATTACATTCTGCAAATCTAAAAACGAAATGTAATGGAACTGAATTGAGATTTAATGCCAACTCTTTTTTCATAAATAATTGAGATGACCACTTTTCTGTCCGTACCGTACATGATGTATTAATATTTATTTGGAACAGGGACTCTTGTCTTTTTATTTATTTATTAAAAGCGATAATAATTTTATTGATAACATAGAAAAAGAAAATACAGAGTAGCCGTAATGCCAAATATGAGTACAACATCTTCAATGACCAAACACAAAAATAAATTGATTTGATCTAGAGAGAATTACGCATGCCAAAAAAACCTAAAACCTCCAATTCGGCATACAAAAACACATATACTCAGACCTACAATACAAATCCATCACGCAATGGTGGTAACGGCAAATCTGCATCGAAAAGTCGAACACTAAATATGACAGGACCCAACCCATATTCCACTTTGGAATTTGAGCCTAACCCTGTGCGTGTTCGACACTTGGCAGGTGCCGGACACAATTGACCAAATTGCCATTTTAACAAAAATCAAAATTAATCTCAAGTTTGACTTCTGCCGAAAATTTGGCAAAGTCTCCCTTGTAAATACTCGTTTCCCAAAAAATTTCCACATGTACAACAAACAATTTAAATATTCACAATCGCTCAACATGCACAATAAATAATTCAAGCAATCAACATCTAATTTTTATGGCCTTAGGTCTCTCGAAAACAAATAAATTGTTCTGCCAACAGAAACAGATCCAAACTTTTGAAACAACACGAATACGTTAATAGATTTCAAAATAACTTAACTGAACAGCTTTTCAATCACTTGGTCTCGTGGCTGCACCTAATAACTCTAGGTTGCCTACGTAGCATTAACAAGGGATCAAGCCACACGTAGTTCTTACTTTTTTTATATTGCACCTATGTATCTTGTCAATTGTTGTTTTTCATTGAGATTGTAAATCAATCCAAGTTCTCATGTTAGTGCTATATTAAAAAAAACATTCACAAACTCTAAAGTAATACTTCCCAACATTCCCAATTTTCAAAATAGTTCATACTCAAAACATAAGTAAGCCGCTCACTGAGCTTCCTCGAATTCATATATCAATTTATGTATTACTGGCTTAGATTAATATATATATATATATATACATATATATTATAAGTGAAAATAAAAATAAAAATAAAACCAACAAGCTCCGAAGACACTTTTAACCTTTCCTTTGAAACTCACATAAAACCCAGTTATAATTACATATATACATATACCAAGATTTATAACTAACTTATTACAGATAAGTAGAAAAACGAGAAAATTATTAAAATAGCATTGACCACGTGAAATCTTAATGTCAATAATAACAACTTAACTGAAACATATATTTTCATCTTTTACTTATAAAGCAAATTCATCGCTTAAAAAATTAATTGTGAACTGTATAAAATCATTAAAACTTAGAAAAACTCTCCACCTGGACGTATCCCCATCCATATTCCGTCAATTCCGATAACATTCCGTCAATTCCAAGTATCCTATCAGTTACATCCTCGCAAGTCTCGAAAATACAAACTAAATCTGAGCCGCAATCATCGCAAGCCTCGGAGACACCAAGTCTACCCGAGCCACAATCAT